TCACCTGGCCGGCATGGCTCAGTGGCTGAGTGTTGACCTATGAACCAGGAGGTCCCAGTTCAATTCCCGGTCAGAGCACATGCCCAGGTTACAGGCTCGATTCCTGGAAGGTGTTTCTGGGGAACCAGTTTCCAAGAAAGAGTACTTAAAACAAGTAAAGCTGGTTTGCCTCAGTGGATAGAGAGCCAGCCTGCAGACTGAAGCATCTGGGGTTTGATTCTCATCAAGGGCACATGCCCAGGTTGCAGCCTTGATCCTATGATTCTTTCTCATCATTGATGTTTCTTTCTCTCTCTCCTCTTTCCCTTCTTCTCTGAAATCAATACTATGTATGTATAAATATTTATGGGGTCAGCATGAGAGTCTATGTGGTAACCTATTTTCTTCTTTGTTTATAAAACACACACACACACACACACACACACACACACACACACACACACACACACTGGAGCCTCCCACACAGAGCAGAGTCACAGAGCAAAGCCAGATGCAGAGCCAGCTTCCGCTGTGGTGAGGCCCTGGAAAGATGGGATTCCAAGCTGGTCAAAGAGAGAGACAGCCCCAAGCACCCAGCAAGTTCAGACAGCGCCAAGACTTCCCTAAACTCTGTGCAGCTGCAGGGGGAGGGGGAATTGCTGACACAGGGTCTAGGAAGCTGGGCTGAGCCAAGCGCCTGGGGCCTCGCGGAAGGCTGGGTCAAAGTAAGATCTGGAGGACAGATGGGGACAGGTTGGGCCTCAAACCCAAGTGCGGAGCATGGAACCCTCCCCGGGTGGGCGGACACCTCCCTCTTCAGGGGCAGGCTCTCCGGCCCCCCGGGCATGCCTGCCTCTGGAAGACACTAGTGTCGGATCATGCCGAAGATGATGGTTTTTCCTCCCCTGCGGCAGAGCCACTTCCCTGGAGCTCTGGAAAGCACGGCCATGATCCCTGCTTGTCTTATTCTGAGGGGGGAACTTCCACATTAACCAGGACAAGTTACCCAGCACCGCTTAACCGCCCTGCCACAAAGGAGGTCCACTGGGGAAGGATTGGGGAGCAACGGCACACGGGTGTGCTTCCTGTTAGGCAACCTCCGTTTAAAGAAACACAGAGCATTTCCCTTCTCAAACAGATTCACAAAAAGGTTCCCTGAAATAAGCATTTCCATGGAGCGTCTGAATAAGATTGTGTATGAAGCATGTGCTGACTCATACCTTTTCGGGAACAGCTACCTAATTTGACGCCGGCCTCTCAGTTCTGATGGCTCTTTCCTGGTTGTAGTCCTGCGGCCCTGCCTGTCTTTCCTTTCCCTCTCTCCTCCTGCTTCTTTGGGGACTTTGTTCTTTCTCCTCATTTGAGTGACTGTGGCTCACTTCCTTTAATGGTCAGCTCGGTGCTCATAATCGCTGATAATCACAGGTGCTCATTATGTGGCAGGCACTGCATTCTCAACACAGTCCTATGGAGTAGACACTGTTATTATCCCTTCTTCCCCACCCTACCCCACCCCTTTTTTTTTTCATCTTCACCTGAGGATATTTTCCCATTGAGTTTTAGAGAGGGAAAGACAGAGAGAAGCATCGATGTGAGAGAAACACATCAATTGGTTGCCTCCTGCATGATCCCGACCAGGGCAGGACCAGGGAAAAGCCTGCAACTGAGGAACATGCCCTTGACTGGAATTGAACCCAGTATCCTCCCGTCATCGGCAGACCGTCACTCTATCCACTGAGCCAAACCGGCTAGGGCTATCCCCATTTTTATAGACAGGAAACTGAGGCTGGGCTTGAAGTAACTGCCTAAGGTACCCAGTTAGTAAAGGGCAAACCCGGGATTTGAACCCGGCCAGTCCACCTCGGAGATTCTGCTGGCAACTGATGACACTTCTGTACTTCATGCAATTCCATGCACTCTCTCGCCTGGACATCATTTCCAGGGGCCTAGGACCATCCATCTCTACCAACCCCTCAAACCCAGAATGCTGACCACCCTGGTTGTTTAAACATTGAAATACTTCCAAACCCTGCTGCCTGGCAGCCTGTCCCCTTCCCAGATCACTCCTCCAGGACCTCCCCACTCCCTGGCACGGTGCTCGGGGCTGAGGGCTGGGGAGCGCCAGCTTCAGAATGCCGCTGGCCTAGGTCCTCACCAGCACTACTCCTGTGGTTAGATATTGCTAGTATCACTTCTGCTCCTCCTCCTCCTCCTCTCTCCACAAACCAGTTCCTCCTTCTAACTTCCTTATTTCTGAGGTCTGCACCTCATTCTCCTGTTCACCGTTCGCGAGTTATTGCCAGCCACTCAGTTCTCTCAACCGCCTTGCCTCCCTCCCCCAGGGAGTGTGAAAGCCTCAAAGGCGGTCTCTGAGGTCCCCAGTAGTTTCCCTTCTGCCCCTCTCTTCCCAAGTCCTGGCTGGCCGGCCCATCTGCCAGACTCCTTTCCTCTTCCCTGCTGCTCACCTTCAACTAGCAGCCTCATCCTGTGGCTCTGACCTCTTCCACCTGCTGGGGCTCATCCCACCCGTCTCCTTCCTTACCCCTCGCCATGGTCTCCATCCTGGAGTAGACCCCTTCTAGCCCTGGCCCAGCTTCCGTGGCCCCTGCTGGACTCCTCCTCCATTCCTAAGGCCAGGCATTCAGGGACAGAGCCTCGATTCCTCATGAGAAGTCTACCTTCTAACCAAGGTGTAGGTCTTACCCTGCCAATGCCTCCTCCATTAGACCACCTTATACTTCACGGATATGAATTAAATTCAGTCAGCTGATCCCCACTTATGTTTCCAAAGCTTCCTACTTTATCCAATCACAACCCTCTCGAGAAAACTATTGCCAGCCACTCAGTCCTCTTAGCCGCCTTGCCTCCCCCCCTTCCCCCCCCCGCCCGAGAGTGTGAAAGCCCCAGAGGTCCCCCAGTAGTTTCCCTTCTGCCCCTCTCTTCCCAAGTCCTGGCTTGGCTGTCCCATCTGCCTGGCTCCTGAGCATCCAATGCAAGGAGGCACTATGGCAGGTGCTGGGGACCCAGGTGATGGGATACCCCAGAAGCTCATGGTCGGAGCCGGAGGAGAAAGGTATATGCAAATGAAGGTCCAATGGCGACCCACCCACTTCCTCTGGCACTGCCATGGAAGACAGACAAGCAGACAGCTATGCTGGGACAGACACGCATGCCGAGCGCCACTGTCCATGCAGTCCTGCTCCACTATTTAACAGGACCTTGAGAAGTTGGTTAATTTCTCTGCCACTCAGTTTCCTCATCTGTAAAATGGGATGGTAAGTAAGCGACCACCACAAGGTAGTTGTGAGGCTTAAATGAGTAGTGTGTATGAAGCATTTAGAGTGGGCTCTGTGCACGGTAATAATAGCTATTATTGTTTTTATTATTTTATGTAAAGTGTCCTAGGAAAGTAGAGATGGAAGATAAACTTTGCAAGCTATCTCTGAGGATCTCAGATACCTTCTGACAGCATAAGCCTGGAAATTTTCTCCCCCAGACCTCTAAGTCCCAACCCAAACCTCATTTCTGTCCTCTCCCCTAACCACGCCTGCAAGGATGCTTCTGGAACAGCTGGGCGGCTCCTTTACTGTGGCCTGGGAGGGCTCTGAGGACGGAGGCTGCAGCTCTTACCTCATCGCATGCCCTGTCCGCCTTACAGATCCACCTTACTCATTCAGCAACTATGTGCGAGCACCCTTTGTAGGTCAGCCCGCGCACGGGGCAGGGGCACTGGGAGCCAGCACAGCACCTATCTACAGGCGTTCACGTGTTTGCGGGCCCCGGATTCAAAACTCTAAACTAACCAATGCCAAGAAGGGCCAAAAATGTGTGCCAGGTGAGCAGGTGACAGAGCCTACTGGATGCAATCAAAAAAGGCTTCCCTGAAGAGGTGACATCTGGGTGAAGATCTGAAAACGGGGTGAGAGGGAGAGGCAGATCTCTCTGCCCTGCTTTTTCCCACACTGCCTGTCACGGGACCCCAAAGTCCCATCTATATTCTACCTAAAAAATTCCCAGGACTCCTCCCAGCAGGTCATTCACCCTCCCTGTGCAGCTCCACAGACTTGCACCCCCCAGGGAGGCAGTAACCCAAGGGACCCTCAAAACCCCACGAAAGGGGACTTCACAAGGCAGGGAGGGCATACACTGTCCCTGAGGCCACAGAGCCGGGGTTCTCCACCCAGCAGCCCTCCACGGGGGGCAGGGAGCTGTGACGTTAAATGGGGGGCAAGCAGGGTCCCGAGGAAGGAGCTGGTGCAATTTGGCAGCTACAGGTCAACTTCCAAGGTGTGCAGGCTTCCTGCCCCTGCCTTCACGGGATGAGCCCGGTTCCTCTAGACCAGGGATAACACCCTGAGGGCCCCGGGGGAAGGAGAAGACTGGGCAGAGGGTGGGGACAGCAGACCTGCCGCCTCCGGCTTGGGTTGGTCCTACCGGGCTTGGATGCCCCCACCAGCCTGCAGGGTCTCACAGGCCTCGGCCTTGCTCTGGGCTGGGGCCAAGGCCTGGGAGGGGGCTCAGGAAACGGGGTGCCTGAGGGGACGAAGCTTCTGCAAGAGAACCTTCTAGGGTCCGCAGGGGAAGTGGGGGCTAATGCGGCGCTGACAGGTTGTGTATTTCCAAGGACCAGAAAAGACCATGGGGGGTGGGGGAGTGAGAGTAGGGAGAGGGGTGCCGCTGCCCGCCGGCGAAGCTCACCCCAGCTCCCCGACCCCAACCCCCCGCAAATCCGCTCACGGCGCAGCCCCCGGGGCCATCGGTGTCTCTCCCCCGACGAGTTGGTCCTCGGTTTCCTCATCTGCAAGACGAGGGGGGGTGTCCCCATTCTAGGGGCTCGGGCTGCAGCCGTCCGTGGGAGCACGCGCTGCAGCGGCCGAGACCGGCGCCGGGGACTCGGTCCGCGCGGCGGGCTGGGTCCGCTCCGGCTCTGCCTGGAGCAGCGGGACCGGGTCCCCGCGGCCCCCGGCCCCTCGGCGGCCCCGGCGCGGGGTGGCGCGGGCCGGGGCGCCCCCCGGACTTACCCAGAAGTTCCCCTTGAAAAGTGAGGGCGTCATGGCCGGCGCCGCGGCGGGTGCGGAGGGCAGCGGAGCGGCGACGGCGCACGGTCACGGCCGCGGTCCGCAGTCCGAGTCCAGACGCTCGCCCGCCCGAGGGCCCGCCCCGCCCGCCCGCCCGCCCGCCCGCCCGCCCGCCCTGACCACGCCCCTCAAGGCGCCCGCCCCGCCACGCGGGACAGAATCCCGGACCCAGACAGACCCAGACGGACCCCGCGGCGCCAGGCCACGCCTCGCTGCCCCCTCCTCCAAGGAGCCCCGGTGATTGGAAGGCGCCTCCCCGCCCAAAGTGGGCTCCGTTCCTGCCCTCAAGTCCCTACCTCCTCCATCGACCGAACTCCTTGCAGAGGATCCGGCCTCGCGGTGGCGGTGGCGGGGGAGTCCCCGCCGATCGGAGGGCGGTCGGCCAAGTGGGTCGGGTGTCAGCGCGGCCACCCTGGCAGTGCGGTTTGGTGAGGTGCAGACGCTCCAGCGAGTCGTGTTCAGGACGCCAGGTGCGCCGTGCAGATCACCCACCCCGCCCCCGGGGCACGTTTTAGTCTAACGGTCGTGGAAAGGTCATGGATACTTTCCTTTCCCCTTGACTCTAGGTCCCTTAGCGGGGTCTCTCCTGGGCGGCCAGGAGCTCAGCTCCTTCAGGACCCTTTCCTATTCTCAAGACCTGAGACCCTCTCCTCCAATCCCACTCCAGCAGCAGGAGCCCAGAGCTTCCCTCCTCTTCCTCCACTCTTCAAACCTCACATACACCCCCATGAAAGCATAGTCCCAGGGCAGGTCGGACCCATCCCTGCTTCGTGGTAATATGGCACGCTATGGCCCAAGCTATAGAACTGCAGCCCAGAGAGGCCGAGTGAGTAGCCGGAGATCACAGTGTATTCAAGGGATGGAGAGCTCCGCCCTTCCAAACAGGGCCAGAGCCATTGGCACTCCTGGGGCAGATGCACTCAAGGAGGAAAGGGTGAAGATCAAGGGTACCAAGAGTGAGCGCACAACACAAAGCCTCGAGAGGCAAGTGTTCGCCTCTTAAGAGGTTCTTGCTCTGTCCAGACATAGTGAAAGAGCAATGACTGAGAAGATTTGAAGGACAGCTAAAAGGTTCTGCTTAGTAATGCCACCCCCAGTCCCACAACACAAGGATGGAGAGGTAGCCTCTAGCCTGGGTGACTTCAAGGACATGCATCTGCTCATCTGGTCCTTCATCTCTTCGGAAAGCAGTTAGGCTGGAAGGAAAGGAAGCCTGGCAGCACCATCAGGAGGCCTTAGAGGGTGAGAGGATGCAGGAGGGGGGAGGGAGAGGGGTGGCACCAGGAAGACAGGCTAAACCTTAGCAGGAGGGGTAAGAAATAGTGCAAACTGGGAAGATGAAAGAAGTTGATGGGCCAAAGACAGGATCAAAACTTTTCCTGGAAGCTTTTTAAAAATATATATATTTTTATTGATTTTAGAGAGGAAGAAAGAGGGAGCTATAGAAACATCAATAAGACAGAATCATTGATCAGCTGCCTCCTACACAGTCCCCTCTCAGGATGGAGCCCACAACCCCAGCATGTGCCCTGGTTCATGGTCCATGTTCAACCAGAGTCATGCTGGTCAGGCTTTTCCTGAAAGTTTTGAAGATTTGGAACAAATATTTAGGAGACAATTCCAATTGTCTAACTTTTAACTTTTAATACTTTTTTTTTTTTTAAGTCAAAACAATTTTTATGGTACATTGTGCTTGATTTTTGAAGCCCACGAAGGCTTCAAAGATCCCTGAATTCTAACGCTCTACCACCATCTGGTGGCAAGATTGAAAATTGCAAATGTTTGTCGAAGCGGCCTTCCTCAAATGTTTATGCTCATCATCTGGACAGGTGTTGATTGAAAAGTCAAGTAAATGTGTACTATATACAAGGGTCTGTGACAAATTTGGGACACTTTACTAATAAAGTTAAATAACACTACTATAGCAGTTATAAAATAAAGAAGTTTAATAGTCAATACATTTAAGATAACCGATAATATCTTGACAGTAGTTTTGTATGTATAAGACGCCCCCACTTTTCCAACCCAAAATTAAGAAATCAATATTTTATTTTTTTTTTTATTTTTTTTTTTTAAATATATTTTATTGATTTTTCACAGAGAGGAGGAGAGAAGGATAGAGAGTTAGAAACATCGATGAGAGAGAATCATCGATTAGCTGCCTCTTGCACACCCCCTACTGGGGATGTGCCCGCAACCACGGTACATGCCCTTGACCGGAATCGAACCCGGGACCTTTCAGTCTGCAGGCCGACGCTCTACCACTGAGCCAAACCGGTCCCGGCAAGAAATCAATATTTTAAACATTTTGCTGGTTTTCCTCTTAAGGCCTTCTTCTTTTTTGGCATCTTAAGTTGTTCTTGTTTTCTCTGATCATACACTCAGTGGGAAGAGGTCCAAATTGTATCTCTGCAGCTCTATTTCCATGCTCTTTGGCATAGCTGAAAGATAATCACTTACCGGTATTTATTCTTTTCTTTTTTGACATGTTTATGGGCTCAGAACGCTCGGATCCCTGTTGCATCTGTGCACTCTCCACCTCCAATTACAGCATCAGCTGCCGTCAGTAACAATAAGGCTCGTGATTGGAGGAAGCCTGTTTGACAAGGGATGGGCAGCTAAGCACCCACAAGGCTCCCTCAATTTTCAGTCTAACAATTTTGGAATAAAATAGTCTTATACACGGAAAAATATGGTAATCTCTTCCAATAATATACATTTGCATGGTTAAGCTTACTGTACATAAAATTTGGAGTCTTGGTGTATATATATATATATATATATATATATATATATATATATATATATATAAATTTGGAGTCGATTTTTTATATAGAGGGAGAGGGATAGAGTTAGAAACAGAGATGATAAACATCCATCAGCTGCCTCCTGCACACCCCCCCATTGGGGATGTGCCTGCAACCAAGGTACATGCCCTTGACCAGAATCGAACCCGGGATCCTCCAGTCCACAGGCCGACGCTCTATCCACTAAGCAAAACCGGCCAGGGCTGTAGTCTTGGTTTTTTAACTTAACAATGTTTCAGAAGTATTTTCTAAATTCCTTAGATAAATCTTTTCTAACAAAAAGTTTGATACCACAGTGTTGGCCAAAAACACACACTTGCATGTATTATAAAATTGATTATCTTGGTAAAGAGAAATTTGCCCATGTCATCTAAATTTTAGATACACCTATCTTTTGACCCAACATATCCATGTTGAAGAATTTGCCCTCCAAATATATTCCCCCGTGTGCAAAGTGAAATATGTATGCAGTTAGTAATTCATAGCAGCATGGTTATTCTAGCAAAGATTTGAAGCAATGAAATGTCCACCCATGAAGAGTTGTCTTGCTCGGCTGGCATAGCTCAGTGGTTGAGCATCAACATATGAAGCAGGGGTTATGGTTTGTTTCCCAGTTGGGGCACATCCCCAGGTTGTAGGTTCAATCCCGTGTGGGGCATGCAGAAGGTGACCATCATTGATGTTTCTCTTCTTCTCCCTTTTCTGAAATCAATACAAATTTTAAAAAAGAATTGCCTCGATACATTGTGATAAAAATTATTTAGCCTTGGAAGGAACTAAGTGGAGACATGAGCCTAGGCTGGCTGCTTTAGCTAAGTCAGAAAAAAGGGGGTCTCTTGTGGGCAGTTTCAGGGGGTTTACCCGGGATTAACTGCTGGTGCCAATTGCTGCCCTGGTTGCAAGGCTCGGGTGAGGATTTAAAAACAAGAGAAATTCAGTCCTAAAAGCCTCTGCATAGTTGTAGTTAGGTTAGAGTTATGTTTATGGTTAGGATAGCTATGGCACTTTCCGTCCTTCCCCATTCTGAACATCCATACTTACTAGGCAAAAATTAGTCCAATTCTCTTTTTTAAATGAATTAAAGGCATGGAGATGAATATCCAAACCTCTAGTCAGCCTGAGGACCCTTGTTACTGCACTGGGCAAGAGATTTTTGGCTGAAAGAAGACCCTGGTATTTTGGGTCAGGCCCGTGGCCTGACTAGGGGAAAGGTATAATCTCCACTCAGGATTTAGAACTAGACAGCCCGTGATTGCCAACTATTGCAAGCTCGAAGATGGCACTACCCTGTGGTGATCCTCTTCCGAGAACAAGGTGGTGGGTAGCATTCTTGAATACCTACTGTGTGCGGTATACATTGCTATGTTTCACAAGTGATCTCACTGAATACTCATGACCGTGGGGCATCAGGATTACCAGCCCCTGAGCAGATGGGGGCATGAAGGATCAGCGAGGTAGGGTGACCTGCCCGGAATCACACTGCTGGCTAGAGGCAGAGGAAGCATGACACCCAGTCTATGACAGACACTACAGCCTGGCCACTCCCTCCCACATAGCCAAAAGTATAGAGTAACTGCTCAATTAGTGTTCACTGAATCCAGAAGGAATCTGAACATGCCCAAGGAAGCCATCACGTTAAAGGCTACAATTTTAAATTACAGGTGCAGAATTAGAGGGAGGAGAAGAAAAGAAGTCAGTTATATGTATCTGCTTTGCTGATCCTCAGGTGTGGCCCTATCCTGACCTTTCCCATTGCATTCCGCAGCTTCCCCACCTCATGCCAGTCAAGTTCTTGTCCTGCCACCCCGTCTTAGCTCATGCTTTCAGGCTATGGGTCATGCTTCCACTGGTCATCACTACTCCTTTCTCCGTCCCTTAGTGTCTTCCCATTCCTGAACTTGTCAACTTTATCACAAACTAGTCCTTAATAACATGATATATCCTTATATTCTCTAATTTCTGTTTCTCATGGATATTTTACCTCCCCAAAATTGCAAAACACCTCAAGAGAGATCTTTCTCATGTATTCACTGATGAAACGATGAAGTCAGCCAGAGAATTCAATTAATTCTCTCTGATCCTCAATAACAATGTTTTATTTCATTCCCCATAGTCTGATCCCTCCCATCCAGGAAAGACGTGTAAACCTGATGCTAACGCCAGATGAGA